AGGGGACAAATTTTCTTATATTGAATTTATACGTAGAAAAATACTTTCAAAATTTTTTTAGCCTAAAAACTAAATGGGCCCCAAACTTGTCCCCACCCTAGTCCCCATGAACATTGATACAAAGTTAAACAGTCACAAAATAATTCGTCTTGATGTAATTATGATTGATTTATCTTTAAGAAATTTCGACGTGTACCATCCACGCAGTTATTGGCTCCATGGATGAAATCTTGAAAAATGACCAAATTCGCCAATTACGATAATGGTTGGAAGACCATAAATGCAGTGTTTTTAAGGATGGGGACTAAATAGCAAGTGTTATAGATTGGAGGCTAGATATGCAATTTTTCCAAAATGAAAACCAAGAAGATAGCAAGGGTGTGGGACCCGTAGCTGCCCTGTCGGCTGCCCAGCTTTTTGCCCAATCTTCGATTTCCTTTGGCTCGTTCATACGGTGAGAAGAAAGAATGATGACTGTTTTCCAGATCATCTTTCTCCATCGTTACCACTCTCTCCCTCTTCCAAAATCAAATTTCAAACAAAGCCCTTATTTCCATACTTAACGTATATATGTATAATTGCGTAGGATTTTAATTAGGGATTCATTCTTCATCATCATCAAAAATGAAAAACCCAATAATTTCCGCCCATGATTCTCCTTTTCCCCACCAACCCCATTTAGTCCATACATGTTCTTTTTCTGTTCCCTTGTACAGCTGATCAGAACCCACTTCTCCCTATTGAGTTTTGACCCACTGCCACTCCTTTTCCACCTCAGTTCTAGGATTTTCTTTTTTCTTCATTGAATCTCCTTTTTCTTAGTTTTAGGTTCTATTGCGGGATCTTTATGCCTCCTCATGACCTCATCTATTTCAAACTAAAATTTCTTCTGTTCATCCCAATTTTCATGTATAAATAGTTGAAAAGTAATGCTCTTCTCACTCTCTTTGTGCTTTTTCTATGGTTTTATCTTTAGGGGTTTACTGTTAAAATGGTTTTTTCCCTTCATTGGATAAACTTTAGTATCACTTGTATTGCTTTTGTAATTATTTAAATTCTCATTTCTTTCAGGATCAATTTCCCCACGAAAAGTTTGTTTAAATTTGGCTAATTTAAGTGATATGGCTTATCAACAACACCAGTCTCTCCCGGGTCCAATCACAGGTTCGGGTTTGGGAGGGCTTCAATACATGAATTCTCCATATGGGGATACCACTCTCACTAAGGTTTTTGTTGGAGGGCTAGCCTGGGAGACGCAAAGTGAGACCATGAGGCGGTATTTTGAGCAGTTTGGGGAGATTATTGAAGCTGTCGTCATTGCTGATAAGAATACTGGCCGATCCAAAGGATACGGTTTTGTGAGTGTTATCTCATTCCAATGAAAAATAATGTTTGTTTTGAAATCCTGTGTAATTTGCTTTTTTGATTATTGGATTCGTAAAAAGTTTGCTCCACTCATGCCTAACATATACTGCTTCTCAATAAATTTTTTTTTTGTATAATTGATGCTTCCGTCTCAAGTCAAATTTTTTGGGATTTGTCTGCTTCTTAATATTTTACTTCGCCAATGTGAGATTCTGTTATTAATGTGTTACACACACGGGGAAATGGTGATTTTACGGAGGATTTAGGTGACTTTCTGGGATCCTGAGTCAGCTAGAAGAGCATGTGCTGATCCAACTCCAATTATTGATGGAAGACGTGCAAATTGTAATTTGGCTTCTCTTGGGCGATCTCGTCCAGCACTTCCATATGGTAATGTACCTCATCTGCCTACATATATTGTGCTTGTTTGCTTTTAATCTTTTAGAGGTTTTTCGTCTGTAACTATATTCCTTATTGGTGCTTCATTCCTGATCAAGATTCAACTGTACTATTAAGAAATCGTTTTTTCAGTTATGCAAATGCCTGATGTTGGGTTGGAAATGTACTTGTGCTGTGGCTGTGAACTTTTGTAAGTGGGGTCATAGTTATTATCTCCAATTCCCCTTTTAAAGTACATTATCCTAGAATCCTGTTATTACACGTACAGTATAG